AGTTGTGTTTTAAAGACTATTATCCTGGGTAGTACTTTTCATGCATAGCAGTTATGATCTCTCATATAAATAAAACTGGCCTCCAAGAACAACTAGTAGTATTGTAAGTTGAACGCCTTGGTTTTGTTTGTTTGTTTTTGCTTGTGTGTGTGTGGGGATAAGTGAAGAACAAATTGTTTCTGTAGCTATTTGACCATGTGCGTAAGGGCTTGGTTGATAGTTTAAGTGATACTTTATGAATGTCTTTGGTATTTCATTTATTTCTTCAAGAAAGCAAAACTATACCTGTAGATTAGGAAGGAGTTTTCTTTTTTTTAACACTTGCAAGCATTTTTTTTTAATTATAAAAAGAAAAACCCACCAAACCGCTGTTCACCTGACATTTATGCCCATCTTAAATATCTCAGCGATAATAATTGTTTCCATTTGCACTACTTACAGGCCTGTTATGCTGTTTTCAGTCATCCTAGGTCAGCCATGAACCTCTAAGAATTCAAAATATTTTCTGAGGCTTAATATAGAAAGTAGACACCATTTGCATTTTTATTTTTCACATTTCGTAACCAGTAGGCCTTCATAGAAATGTGAATGCATTGAACGTTTTCTGCCAAGAAGTTTTCCATACTGCTTTAAACAATTTGAAGATAACTTGAGAAAGGAGGAGCTTTTTGTAGGATTTGTCACACTCCTCAGTTCAAATGTGATATAGAAAATTCATAATGTGTAATTTATTAATTGGTCCTAAAATGAGCTGTGGGTTTCTGGGTTTTTTTTGTGAGGGTTTGTTTGTTTGTGGGTTTTTTTGTGAGGCTCTGTTGGGTTTTTTTAAGAACAATTGAAAGCTCTTTTCTGTTAGTATTGTCAGATCTCCTTCCATCACAAGCTGTATCAAAGTCCTATTTCTACTTTAAAGTGGAAACTAAACTATCAGAAACCTAATGTGTTGTTGATGTTCTCAGCTGTCACTGGTAACCAGAAGAAAAGTTTCAAAAGTTTCAAATTTTTATGTACTTCTTTATTAATAGTTTTAGAAAAAACTTCATGAACAGTCACTGAATACAACAAGTTGTTGTATTATTAGCTTTGCCATGTTGTATTCTTAGTGTCACGGAATTTGGACAGGGCACATGAGTAAGACTTCAGCTGTGAACTGGGAGCCGGATTCACTTCTGTTATACTTCCTTTTAGTTCAGCTCTCTTATAGAGGAATATTTTCTGCTAGCGAAGTCTACAGAGTGGATTTTTCTTGGTATCATTTTATTTCCAGTAGCTGATAGCACGACGCAGAGATGCTACTAGAATTTGTACAGGCTTTTCACCACATTGGTTACCCTATTGCTTATCATACTTTCTTCATTTAAATATGGAATCTGCCATTTCTTGCATGTTATCTGTGTGAGTGTGAAAACATATTTACTATCTTTCCTCCAAGAAAATATGTAGGGGAGTTTCGTGGATCTAAAAGTAGTGGCTGTAGTAGTCCCTTTCTTCATTACCTGTCTAGGATACAATGAAAACCTGCTTACCTTCATAAAGAGGATTTTTCTGGTCTAGTCAAAGAGTTTTAATTCTCAAACTCATTACTTGCTGATATGTGGTGCTTTTATTCTTTAGATAATCTTATGAGATTTCTGAATTTCAAATACAGTTTCTTATTCTTTGTGTTGTCAGCAGCATTCAAAAGTGTAATATGTATCCTGATAGAGATTTCAATATATATATATGGTTTGGGATTTTTTTTGGGGGGTATGTGCTAATTAATTGGTATTTAAGTGCTTCAAACTTGCAGAAGGGAACAAACACTATTGCCTGTATGCAAAAAGCCTCAACTTTTGCTGCCCTGTCACGTTAACCAAGACAACAGCCTATAAAAGTATAGTAAGTGCTTCTTCTCTGTTGGGTTTTATAATTTTTAGAAAGTTTGAATATTATATCCTCTAGAATGTGACAAAACAAAAGGTTGAAACACCGTGCAATAAGCATGTTAAAAGCCATATGTTTTCTTCAGGTGTGGTTCAGCTTAGATTTCATGAAGTAGAATAGAAAATACATAAATACATTATGTTATATCATATATAAATTGAACTAGAAAAAGGAAAACTGGGTGCACCAATAGGCTGGCCATGTATGGTGGGTGATTAGCATCACCTGAGGAAAGTTTTGTGTTTCCAGAAAGGTAAGGTTTCTGTTCCTAATGTGTTAAGCATATTTCTTTCCTTAGTTATATAGTATTCCAGCATTGTAAACTGAAGGTGTTTGCTTGTATGATTTTTTTTTTTAAGTCATCTTTAGCTGTACGGAAGGAGGTAATGTTACTGCAACCTACTTTACTTAAAGCCATGAAAGTAACCATCAAGTCTTATTTTTTAGGGTATTGCTTCAAATTTGTAGAGGTTTGTATTCCCATAACTTACATGCAGTTCAAGAGATTTGGGTCTCCGTGGATGTTGTCCTTGTTATATGAACCTTTTATTGTGAAGTATTCTTGGCATGTGTATTACTCAAGTTTCAGTGTGTTAGCAACTTGTGAAAGGTATTAATGCCTTCTGACTATGTAATATTAAACATCAAGGCAGTATTTATCATACATGTTTGGAGAATTAATGGACCATTAGGACTTTAGATCCTGTTTGAATCTAGCAATCAAGTGGTCCAGAATTACACTGCTGTTTTTTAAGAGGAGGCAACCTGTTTCATAGCTAAAGTTTATGATACAACATTCTCACTCGTAACTATCTTGCTGAAGACGTAGTAGTATTGGAAAAAACACCTAGTATCACTTCTAGCAGTTAATGTAATTTATCTTGCCTTAACTGAGTAGAATTCTAAGGAATGGCTTTTCCTGACTTTTTTTTTTTTTTGTCAGACCAAGAGGAGTTCTTTAGATTGCTTTTCAGAGTTCTTGCATTTCCAAAATACTTAGTAATATTATGCAGAAGAGGCTGAGATTTTGGGTTTTCTATAGTGTTAATTGAACTCCTTACTGTATCTGATTTTGCAGTAGAATAATGTTAATAGGACTTCACTGTATTTAATTTCATGTCAGTGCTACTGTACAGGTGTTTATATCAGTATGCTGTTAAGGCATGGTGTTAACTAATACTGTTCGACAACATACAAAGGCATCAAGTGCCAGTAACAAGTTCACAGCAGCACTCACACTTCATGTGGGAATTCCTACTGGTAATTATATTTTCCATTTGATTTTAGTAGTATCTGGAAAGGTTGATACTTCCATTTAAAACTATTAGTGATTTACAATTTAATCTTGGTGAATGATTAACAAAAATTTAGTTAACGTTTCAGAAAGAAGGTATAGATAAATGTTTAACTGCTAAGTTTTCAGAATAGAGAATTGAAAAGTTACTGAGATGGGCAATTTATCCTGTAATGGGTCTTAGAGAATTCTGCAGTTCTTCTTTACTGAAATGCTTCATAACAATACAGGCTGCAAATGTTGCTTCTATTAATGACTTCTATTAGTTCATACATATTTAGTAAGAAAGTAATGAGTACATGAGAGCTTTTAATAGATGTTTCTATATTCAGGTGATGTGATATGTAAGAAACTCACTCTGGATCTTGTGTAGCATTTTAGTCCTGACTGAATACAGAACTGTTTCATAGTTGTTGAAACAATAACAACATAAACAAAAATCTGTTGGTATCATTGTGTGGTGTTTAGATGAAAACAAATAGCATCCATTTTAATTTTGCTGAAGCTAGATGAAAGTCCAGTTGTCAGACACAGAAATTGCATTTCAGAATTTTTAAAGGGATTCCCATTAAGCAAAATAAGTGTGCACTTAAATTGCTGTACTCAAAAGAATTTGGCTTATGCATAGACTAAGAAATGAGGGTTCCCATTTCTGTTCACTGAAGTGTATTAACAGCTCAGACTGACTTTAGTTTTCTGTATTATGACAGTCTGTAATAGATCAGAGTAAAATGAATAAAATGTGTATTGTTTCAACAGCTAAGTCACAGAAGTTCCACTTGTGTTATTGGTTGCACTTGAACACTTTACGTCTTGACAGGCTTGCTTGTAAAGACAATGAATGTGCCTGTGCTGATGACTTTTGAGTTCTCTTGCTGTGACAAGCCTTTCTCTTAACTGATCACTTTGTTTACAATTTGATTACAAATTAGTCACTTTTTTTCCTTAAGAATTCAGTTTTGCATGCATGACTCTTTCTCAGCCATCTCTGACCTGGTTTTAGAACTATACTAGAAGTAGTTCTAAAACTGCTGTTGGATTTCTGGTTATCTGGGTAAATCTAAGACTATCTAAACTTGATAGGTATTTCAAAACTTGGAATTATTTCTAAGGTTTTATAAATAAAAAAATAAGGAAGTATGGGTGATACTAAAATAACCCTGCCAAAATTTGGGGGAGATCTACAGAGGTGGGAGCTGTTGAGATAGATGCTGTGCGGAGCATTCTTGTGGCATAACGCTGCATAAATTGCCTTGCCTGTTGTGAGTGGGCTGCTTTTCGAAATGTTCAGGAAAACAGAAAAACTGAGTTGGTCGATTGCAAGGCAGCACATTTTGTCTGATAGCTGCTACTGAACTAATAGGAGTTAGATGTGGATTTGTACCCAAATTCAGAAGTAGTCTTGATTAGGTGCTCAGTGGGAAGTGAAACTTAAAACATCTTTGCCCAGTTGGTTGCTTGTTCTACCCAACATTCTTGAGCAATGTTCTTCCTGCTTTTTAAGATTTCACTGTCAAATAAACCATTGGCAGTAGATATCAGTGTCCAGTATTATGTCCGTATCAAGCTTCATGTTCTCAGTTGTGTGGCCAACATAATGTTGCATTAAAACTATATAATGAAATAATTGGTAAATGTTGTCTTTAAGATACCTGGGATATTTAAAGGGAGATTTTTCATAGTCATTTACGATTTTAAAATTATAATTACATTTAAAAATATGAAAATTTCTGGTTTAAAATTTGATTTATTTTTTTTTTTTAATTTCCTTGTGTAGCTATGTAGGAAACCTCTCCAGAGATGTGACTGAAGTTCTTATACTTCAGTTATTCAGCCAGATTGGACCATGCAAAAGCTGTAAAATGATAACAGAGGTAAGGCCTTCCACATCCGGGGGGTAGCAATTCTAATGTAACTTAGGATAAAGTTATGCAAAATAAATGGAGTTGGGGGCTTCTTTTGACATTACTGGTAGTGGTTTTTCTAGGTTGATTGTGTTTGGCTTTGGGGATAACTTTGCAGAAGAGACCTGTTGTTGTATACAATCCTGTACTTTTGCCTGTAGCCCTGACATAGCTTTTAGCTGAAGATGAGATTCTGCTTTGTTTAAGGGATTGTTACCCCCTCTTTTCAGAGCAATGTTGTTCTGATAATGAGAAACCTTATTGTTTTGAGTGTTATTTATGGCTATTTTGTACATTTTTCACTTTATTTGAACATAAGCCTCAGTAATTCTTTTCCCTCTCAAATAAATGCTTCTTCACTATGCATGAAAAGTAAAGAATCCTTCAAAATAAGTTTTGCTCTTCCCGAGCCTCTTCTGTGTCAGTGCGAATAGCTCTTGTCTGCACCTGTCTGTTCTTAAACTAATTTTTTCTTGAAACAAAGTCACAAAATTTCTGTAGTATTCCAGATAAGCTCTTTAGTACAAAAGTGCTGGTAAGTATTAATGCTTTCTTCTCTCTGTTTTAAATACTCTGGTACATTTAGGGTTGGTAGCCATTTCGGTGGTCTTGTTGACACGTCCCAGGCAACTTCTCGCTCCCTAATATTTTTCCTTCCTTGTGCGTTTATAAGTGATAAACTTTGAGCAGGCAGGGACTAATTGGAACTTTTGCTAGGTTTAATTTTTGGTTCTTCAGCTCTGGTTTTCTGTATGTTCTTCCTACTTCTTATGGTTCATACTGACTTGTAATTACAGATTTCCTGAGTACAGTCACATTATTTTTTTTGTCAAGATCGTTAATGAAAGTATTAAAAGGCAAGTCTTGCAACCAGACTTTTTTAGGAAGACAACTATTAACTCCTCTATGGTCATCTTTTTCTTTCAGTGTGACACACTGCTGTTCTGGTTTTTAGCTGCTTATTCACCTGATGCTTGTTTAATCACTCTCGTCTTTGTCTTAGCTAATAATTTCCCATGTGGCACTTTTATCTTCACTAAAACATTTTAATAGAGCTCTGCCACATTTTCTATAAGGCTGTTGAAGAAAGATAACTAAACAGAAGGGTAACAGAGCACAGTTGTTAGGTTTTCCTCTGAAGAAACAGTTTTGATTTGTCATATAGTCTTCAGAAATAAGGTACTGCTGCTCTAACCTTCAGCTGATTGAGAGATGTTAGCATTGATTTGCTTTCTTTAGAACCAGATGAGAAATTCCAACAGTCATTTTACCTTCATTTAGACTTTGTGGGTTTAAGATTTTACATAACCATACAAATAACAAGTGAGACATCTTTATGAAATACGAAGATAAACAAAAAGCTACTTGGAGCTATATTCGGTCCTGCAGAGGTGAACGCACTCGGCTGACCTTAGCACCTGTCACCAAGCAGTCAGCAAGTGCAGGTTGGATTCTAGACTGGGACTGGCCTGCAGCTACAATGCTTTTAACTGTCAAAAGTACCTGTCCATATTGTCCATCCTTCTAATCAGTGTGTTGTAAACTTTTTAGAGGCACTGAGTTACATTTAAGTGGTTCTTTCCTGTCCCATTTTTAATACCACAAGCTTATACCTGAATGTTTTCCTTTTGTGATTCCCCCCCTCCTCCCCCTTAATCCAGGTGTATCCACTGTTTGCTCACTCTCTTTTTCATTTGTAGAATATGTGACATGAGTATGTCAAGTGTGTAGAGATTTCAGGTGTTTATTTCGGGGGTATATAATACTCAGGGGGATGGTGTGACTAGCATTTACAGGTATCTTGAACACCTGAAGATCTGCACATCTGCAAAAGAGGCTGTTCTCATGTTCAGAGAAGTTCTTAGTGCAAAAGAAGATACCGCCCCCGCCCCCCCC